AAAAAAAAATAAAGATAAGTAGGAGTGTAGCAGAGAAGAGGATAAGAAAGTGGGAGATAGAAAAGAGGAGAGGAGACAGATATATAGAGAGAAAAGTAAGACAAAATTCATGACATTTGGGGGAATGGAAAGCCTAGCCAGAGGTTAGGGTGCATGGATAGGAGATTTTGGAGAAACTGGGGATGTAGGACAAAAATGAATTCTGATGGAACCAGTATGGAAATTTAAGTAGTATGGACTTTATTTTAAAGCCCCAAGTTGTCAATCATGTCACTAGACACTGGTGTGTAAAAAGATTAAAAACAATATACATTTTTATTTCTTTTCTTGAAATAAAGACTAATGACTTCTGCATAGGTAGAAATGTGGTTTTCTACATCTAAAAAATTCTTACCCACTCTTGTCCTTGAATACCCTCTCTCCTACTCAGTTGGTTCTCTCCCTCTAGAACTTTAATACTGGGCCTCTCTCTCTGTTTATATATGATAGGGAGAACGTTGAATCAATTTGAATCAATGATAGGGAGAACACTAAGTCAATTTTAAATCATTACAATTTAAGTTATTTGTAAGCTTTAGTACTTTGGGTATATACTAAATGCAAAAGATCATTATCCACTATCGCATTCTAGATTTCTGTTACTATAAAGATGAATTAATTCTCTTAGCACCTTGGAGTACATAGCCAGATTCAGTGTCAAGCACACAGATATTTCTCAAGTACCTTTCACCTAATCCTAATCCATATTCTTAAGTTTCCATATTCTTATTTTCTTGTTCAGCTTCTGGAATGAAATATAAATAATGATACATTGCCATTAAAATGTGTGAGTACATTGCAGTTAAAACTAAGATTAACATACTCCCTTCGGACAGAGTTATTTTTAACTTTTCTGTATTCATGGGGACAACTCACCTATGATGAGCCTGTGGAGAGTGCCCTTATCTCCATTAATAGCAGCAGCATGAACTTGAGATGCTAATGAGGAGCCGGGAAGGAACAAGTTCTCTGACCTGTTCATAGTCTTCTCAACAAATGGAGCACCCTGAAACAATGATTTAAACGTGACTAGATGCAGAAAACATGTCTGAAAGCTGTCTCATCAGTCCCAAGTGGGTATATTATAAATATGGCTGAATAGAAGTATTTGATGAGGGGGTTGTCTGGGTGGCTCATTCGGTTAAGTGTCTGCCTTCAGTTCATTCAGGGAGTCTGCTTCTCCCTCTCTCTCTGCTGCTCCCCCCTGCTCTGCTCTCACTCTCTCTCAAATAAATAAAATCTTAAAAAAAAAAAAAAAGAAATATTTGACAAGGATTCGAAAAGTCTGCAGTTCTGGTCCTACCTAGAATTGCCATATTGTGGCAAATTAGATGACCCTTTGTACAAGTTGCTCATCTGTAAAATGAGAGGGCTGGATGCTCCTAAGACTCTTGCCAGGGGTTATCTTTTTTTGTTTTTTAAAGATTCTATTTATTTATTTGACAGAGAGAGAGATAGTGAGAGGGAGAACACAGCAGGGGAGTGGGAGATGGAGAAGCAGGTTTCCCGCTGAGCAGGGAGCCTGATGTGGGGCTTGATCCTAGGACCCCAGGATCATGATCCAAGCCGAAGACAGACACACAATGACTGAGCCACCCAGGCACCTCAGTATCAGGGGTTATCTGAGGGGGAAAAAAAAAAAAAAGGAGGCTCAGTATTTAACCTTAGGCATAGGGCTCAAAAGCCACAGAGACTTTTTCTTTCAATATATATATTTATTTATTTATTGGAGAGAGAGCGAGAGCAAGAGAGATCACAGAGGGAGAGGGAGAAGCAGACTTCCTGCTGAGCAGGGAGCCTGACACAGGGCTGGATCCCAGGACCTGGAGCTGAAGGCAGATGCTTAAGGGACTAAACCACCCAGGTGCCCCAAGCCACAATGACTTCTGATTTGATGCCACATAATACTAAACATCAGAATTGATGTTGGGAATAAAGATGATGAACAAGCCACATCGTCAGGTCAAAATCAACTAGATTTAAGTGCTAAAATGTAAATACTTCTAAAAAAAAATAAATAGTACTTTTTTCTCTCATGCTGATGAAAGGAAGAATTTTTATTTGTCTCTCCTTATGCCTCTTGACTTTAGGATTTCGCTTGGAAAACTACATCATTAGGGTCAACCATATTTCATTGGGAAAATTTTGTTCTGACTGGTAGTCTGATATGGTTTGCTAGAACCTTCTAGAAATGCATTAGCTGCATAGAAACCGTGAGCTCTCCAGCACAAGGCTGTTGTAGCAGAGGTTGGATTATGTCAGAAACGCAGCATGAAGAATTCAAACACCTGATGGGAATGAAAAAGGGGTAGTTCCATCAATGATGTTAAACTTCCTTCCTAAAGGTAAGATACCGTATCAAAGTTGAATGCCTGCAAGGACCAGGCTTTACCTACCAGGAGGGTAAAAAGGGTAAGAAACAAAAGGAGTCATGCGGAGCGTGGCAAACTGGAGCATACATGCATATCTAAAGAAAGCAGCTGCTAATCAGCTAGTTAACAGCTGCCTTTAAAAGGGCAGAAAAGCCCTCTTTTGATTTCACCAAAAAATGTCACTCCAATCTCTGACTTCCGAGGATCTGGGAGCTTTGTAGGAGAAATTTATCACCAGTGATGAGTTAGTACTTCTGTTGTCATTGACAAGGATTATTGGTTCAAATTCTGCCTTAAAGTCAAAGTGTTTTCTTAATTTTGGTAAAGGTCAGCTCTTCCTGTCTTTATTTTGCTGACAATTTGAGTTAACATGCTGGCAGAAAATATGGGCTTTGTGAGACACTTCTGTCATGTCGGAAAAACCACTGTCACAGGCAGGATTATGCTGAAGTGACTTGAAAAGCTATAAAACGGGTGGAGGTGGGAACACAGGAAAGGACAAATTGGAGGGCTCTAGGCCTGATTCTGTTAATAATAAGCAGCGCGTCCTCAGGCTACCTCAGCTCTCTGATTTTCTGTAAAATATGAGCAATGAAAAAGGTAGACTACATTGATTCATTCAGTAGGTTGAGTGCTATGTGCTAGGCGCTGCTCTGAACTCTAATACATGTCAATTCAGATTCTAAGTGATCAGAGTTTTAGGCATATCACAACCCCCCCCCCCAAACCTCTTCATACCCTTTGAAAAATACACGCAAGTTTGATCTCAGTTATATACATTTCACCCCATAATTATTAGCACTTAGCACAGTAACAGGTACATAGCTGGTATCAGTCAATATTTGTCCAGTGAAAAGTCATAGGCTGAGTGCTAAGTCCAGAGGGCGAGCAGGATCAAAGCTTAATTTCTTGGACTAAAGAGGTCATACTCATGAGCATCTGCTCTTTTTAAATTCTCCATTTCTGTATCTTCTGTCAGAGAGGTAGTGAAGTGGTCTAGAGATAAGAACACAAGACTAGGGGCGCCTGGGTGGCTCAGTGGGTTGAAGCCTCTGCCTTCAGCTCAGGTCACGATCTCAGGGTCCTGGGATCCAGCCCCCCATCAGGCTCTCTGCTCAGCGGGGAGCCTGCTTCCTCCTCTCTCTCTGCCTGCCTCTATCCCTAGGGATAAAAAGGGATAAAAAGATTTATCCCTAAATAAAATCTTTACAAAACAAAACAAAACAAAAAACACAAGACTAGAAGAGAGAGACCTAACTAAAAGTCTTGGTTCTACCACTATCTAATTTTGCCACTTGGGGAAAGTTCTCTAGGGCCCTTTACTAGCTCAAGAAAAATCCCAAATATATTTATACACACACACACACACACACACAAACACACACAAACGGTGCTTTTTTTTTTTAGTAAATAATTTTTATAGATGAATAGTAAAACCGCTTTGTCAATTATAAAGTGCTATAAAATGTACAGATACCATTAACTAATCATAAAACCAGCCAGTGTAATAAATGCTTTAATAATTATAACTGTACAAAAATAGTGGTGCAGCAGTCACAAGCAAAGGAAAAGTCTTTCTGATCAGGACTAAAGGGTTGGTGTTTTGGGAAGTTCTCAGAGATGGTGACACTTGAGATGGCATTCCAGATAGAGAAAGGACCAAATCCATTCCATGGCAGCAGGAAAGCTAGAGTACAGGCAAGGAGTAGGGAGAACCTCAAAAAATCAGAATGCCTCCCAAGTACTTAGTACTTGTGTGGTTAATATCTGGGACACGTGGACCTGGCTTGGTGTTTGCAGATGAGGCTGGGCAGCTAACTAGGGCCAGATTAAGATCCTCAATTGCTTGGCTAATGAATTCCGTAATTATCTTGTAGGAGCGATCCATGCATTAGTAGTAATCACAGTCGCACTGAGCTTTTCAGTTTACAATGTGCTTTCCCATATTATCCCACATCTACTCCCTACACAAGCCCAGAGACAATTAAATTAGGGAGAAGTCATCGACTCATTCAACTGAGGCCCTGAGAAGTGGCCCGATTTTATAATGCAGTAATTAGCGCAGAAAGAAGAGGCAACAGGCGAAGAGGCTAGTGATGAAGGATCAGGCCAGAGCCCAGGCCAGGTGGGCCTGGAGTCTCAGTCAGGGGCCAAAGCAATGATGCAGATCGATCGGGAGTTTCCCCAGCCAGGCCCCTTCCTACTCACCCTCGCCTCCTCCAGGACTCACGTCCCGGGGGCGGCTCCAGGAGGCACGACCCCGCAGTGGGCCGCCCCTCCCGCCAGGACTGTACACTACATCCGGCTGGGAGAGACCCCAGCGTGCTGAAACTAGAAGAACCCCTCCGAAGGCCGCCCGAGGCGCTCGACCGCACTTCCCTCTGGGAATTGTAGTTCCCATTCTCTAAAAACAGAGGTTCGTCGTCCTCCGCCCTTTCCATCCCACAGGACCCCGCGCGCGGAGAAGTCGGTGGACCTGGGACGAGAGCCTGATGGGAAAGAAGTTCTGGATGCCCGATGACGTACTCAGCGAGAGGGGTGCAGGACTACATTTCCCAATATGCTCCGAGGTGGGCAGGACCCGGAAATGAGGGCGTGCGAGGCCTCTCTGGAAGTTGTCCCGGGTGTTCGCCGCTGGAGCTCCGGGTCCAGAGGACGAGGTGCCGCTGCCGGGAGGATCGTCCGCTGCCGCCGGCTCCCGGAGCCCAGCCCTTTCCTAACCCAACCCAACCCTGCCCAGTCCCAGCCGCGAACCCCGGCGTTACCATGAATCCTGCCGTCTTCCTATCCTTACCCGACCTCAGATGCTCCCTGCTGCTCCTGGTGAGTGAGTGAAGGAATGACAGACCCTTCGACCGACTCTCGGACGGCCTCACGCCCTCTTTAAGGGGGAACACAGCTGCCTACACCCTTGCCTTCCTATTTTTTCCTCCGTTAGCGAGGAGTGCACCCTCCCCCGCTGCCTTCACTCTCTGCATCCGTCTGTACGCTTCCCAGGCCCGCGGTACCCGAGGCCTGAGAAACCACGGTCGGAGGTTGGGACCTGGAAACTGGAGAAATTAGCCTTGGGAGAGGGATACGTGGGAGGGTCACGGGCGAGGAGCTCTCCCTTCCCCCAGACTAACGGAGGTTGTTTCAGGCTCGAGGGCTCATGGACCTGCTGGTAGCTTGAATTGAAAAGGACGGGAGACAGACCTACTGTTCCCTCCCACCCCCTCCCTTTGGGAAGGCCGACAGGTGCTGGGGTCCTGTGAATCTCACGCCAGAGCTCTGAAACGGTGCCCGGGTTGGCAGAGCCCTCTGTTGTGGCTTGATGCGATTGGTTGGGAACCCGGAACTGGAGGCAGATTTGGAGTCCACCCGGGGAATAAAGGTTTGAAGGGTGGAGACAGTGCCTATCTGAAAACCTCAGCTCAAGGCCTCCCTCGGATTTGTCACACATCCCCCTCTCCGAAATTTAAGCAGAGTTGTCAGTGCTCCTGATTTAAGAATGACCAGGTTTTCTGCGTATATTTGCACTCATTCCTAAACTTCCTCACCTGCTTAGCTCCGTCCCATCGTATAAAGGAACCCAGTCCCTCTTCCTCCAAAGCACACCTGGAATGTACAGCCTAAGTAATTCAGGCTGCAGGTCAAATTGAGAAAAAAGTGAAGGACAGACTCCATATGGCAAAATGACGTACCTTTAATCGAGCTGTTATACAATATTTGAAAATACTTTAATTGTGGTAGGTTTTGGAAAACCGAATTTAAGATGAACATTAGGTCAAACTCACTTTTTAAAAAAAAAAAAAAAACAATTTAAAAAGCATAATTCAGTGACTCATAATTAAGTGACTTGTATAGCTAGCTGGTTACTGGCAGAACCGGGACTTGAAGCCCGTTTCTTGACTTGCAATGCTTATTCCACCATAGCACGTTACGCTTTTAATATTTGTATTTGAAATTCTTAATTTCTCTCTCCCCCTTCACCAACCCCCAATCTTTCTTTCCCTCTCTCCATTTTTTCTTTTTGATTTGCAAGTCCTATTAAAAAGCCATATGCAGTATTTGGGTCTTCTCAGAGAAAAAGCACTATGAAAAACTAAAGGGGATGTCAAAGTACTTTTGAGAACTAAGAGTTGAATGTACACATGTCATATTAAATGATGAAGTGTCTTACTGCCATTTCTTGTACAGCAGTGACTTTTCTATAGAGTTAAATATTCTGTAGAGAGTTCTTTTTGGTAATTGCATTAATACACTGTGCTTCTTTTCCTTTTAGAAGTACTGGAATAAAATTCATTGTTATTAAAGACGACTCTCACTTTAAAGATACTAGATATTAATCTTTTCCCTATCTGTAAAATGGTAAAATACTCTCACTTGTGAGTTGTCTGATAGAAATTACTTTTAGGTTACAAAAAATCAAAAACAAAAAATCAACTAAAAAAACAAAGGACAAAAATCCTAAGACATTAGAAAAGTTGAAATACTGAATAGGAAAACTACATCAGATGTACTTCCCTGGAATGGTATGTTTGCTTATAGAACTTAGTTTAAGAAGGAGAAAGTATTGGGGCGCCTGGGTGGCTCAGTGGGTTAAAGCCTCTCTGCCTTCGGCTCAGGTCATGATCCCAGGGTCCTGGGATGGAGCCCTGCATCGGGCTCTCTGCTCAGCAGGGAGCCTGCTTCCTCCTCTCTCTCTGCCTGCCTCTCTGCCTACTTGTGATCTCTGTCTGTCAAATAAATAAATAAAATCTTTAAAAAAAAAAAAAAGGAGAAAGTATTTATTTTGAAATAATTCATACTTTTTATAGAAAACCTATAAATCTATTTAAATATAAAAAGATTTTCCCCCTAATAATTCTAAAATCTGATTAACAGTTTGTATATTTAAGTAAACATAGAGGAATAGAAACTTTGAAGACATTTTAGAGAATACTTATAAAGTTAATGGACTTGAAAATAAAGCCCAAGAAAAGGTTTAATAAACCAGAATTACAAGTCAAGCTAGATTCAGTTTGAACAGTGTTTACCAAAGCAGTTTTAATTATCCTAGGTTAGCAAATATTGATAAAACATCTGTTTAATCACTACTTGAGCTATCTAACTAGTAATTCTGTCCTAGTGATGGAACCTGCTTCATCAGCATCCCACCTGTTTAAAAATATATCCTTTATCTTCCCCAATGTACTTTCTTCCTCCTCCCTCCAACTTCCCCTCTCAGACTTCAAGTTACTCCCTCCCACATACAGTCATCGAATATCCAAGTTCCCACCTAGCTGAGGTCATCATTTTTCCCTCAAACGGCCTGCACTAAAAAGCCATATGTTCTCTTACTACAGTACTTTTTTTTTTTTCAGGCAAACTCTACCTCAGCCCTAAAGAACTAAATCTGTTCAGAGTGTTCAGAGTTAGTCGTGTTCATAAGATAATAGCTGAAGCATATAATCTTTAGACTTCCTAGTAAAATATTTTTCTTTTTCCTGATCTCAGAAACATTTTGGATTGTAGCACTCTAATGCTTAAAAAGCCTTTCTGGGACGGGTAACTAAACACACAAGCTCAATGTGGTAACTTTTTTCCTGGGATTTCATATATATTTCATATTTGAATATATGAATATATAAGGCAAACTAAATGTCCTTTAGTTTTCATATTTGTTATTCATGTTTTGTGGATGATTCGAATGCTGGAGACAGCAGTGATTCTCTGTTACAGCACTGTGTATGAAATACCTGGATTGGGAAATTGCTTCCAGTTGTGTGTGCTTTTTTTTTTTTTTTTTTTTTTGAGAAGGCAGTGATGGGCAGAGTGGGGTGCGGTTGGCAGGGCGGAGGAAAGGGGAAGAGCTAGAGAGAGAGAGAGAGAGAGAGAGAGAGAGAGAGAGAATCTTAAGCAGGCTTCACGCCTAGCATTGAGCCATGCTGGGCCCAATCTCAGGACCCTGAGATTATGACCTGATTTGAAATCAGGAGTGGGATGCTTAACGGACTGAGCCACCCACACCCCCTCATTTTTTAATTTATTGTTGAGGAACTAGATCCTCTATCATTCAGAATTTTCCATATTCGGATATTGCTGATGGTATCCCTGTGTGTGGTTTTATGTTTCTCTCTTTCTTGTGTTTCCTATAAATTTGTAATTAAATTTATGTGGTCTCAACCACAACTCAGTGTATAGTTTGATATAGTTTGTTTCATTTAGCTTTCATTTTTTAGTTTTCAAAAACTTACCTTCTAGTGTATAATTATGTAAAATTTACTGCTTCCAAAACTAAATCCATAAAGCAAACTATTTGGACGAATCTAGCTTCTATTCATCTCTGTATGTTCTTATCCCTCCTAATGTAAGAAACTTTAAAATTATTTTTAAAAGATTCAGCAGTCTGCTTGTATGTGTGTGTATATGTTTCTCCCTCCCCTTTGGTAAACCATAGCTTATTATACTTTACTTTTTTTTTTCTTTTTCAACTTTAAAGTGTATGTAAATGTTAAATCACTAGGTTGTACGTTTGAAAGTAATATTATACTGTATGTTAACTAACTAGAATTTAAATAAAAACTTAAAAAAGAAAAGTGTATCCTAGAGATCAGGATAGAAATATTCCTTATTTCTTCTTAAACCTCTTATTGCTTCCTTCGGTAGATGTACCAGATCCACACTTATTTCCGTTCTTCTGCTGTAGCAAATAGTTCTGCAAAGATTATCTGGTGCATACATGTTTTTGCTCGTGATTTTACCAACATTGTAACAGGATTTCCATATATCCTTGTTAACAAGGTATGATATGGACAGATAGGGTGTTTGTCAATGTGATTGGTGAGAAATGGTATCTCTGTGCATTTTGATTTGATTGTTTTTTAATATGAATGTGATAGAGTTTTTTATGGATAAAGGCCATTTGCATTCGAGTTCTTAACTCATTATTTCTTTAGTTGATTCTATGATGCAGCTAGATTGAGAGGCATGAGAATATACTACCGTCTCAGAATTGTGTAATATTTCTTGTGGGTTAAACTTATAAAAATCTTGGAGAAGATGTCTGATTGCTGCAGTTATTGAAAACTATTTTCTAGGGGCGCCTGAGTGGCTCAGTTGGTTAAGCAGCCAGCTCTTGATTTGGCTCAGGTCATGATCTCAGGGTCCGGGGGTTGATCCCTGCTCCTCCCCCTCCCCAGTCTGATTTCACTGGGGAATCTGTTGAAGATTCTCTCCTTCTCCCTCTGCCCCTCCCCCCTGCTCCCTTGTGCATGTTCTGTCTCTAAAATAAATCTTTAAAAAAATTTTTCTGTACTCACCGTGATTTTTATTTTTATTTATTTTATTTTATTATTATTTTTTTTTAAGATTTTATTTATTTATTTGACAGAGAGAGATCACAAGTAGACAGAGAGGCAGGCAGAGAGAGGGAGGGAAGCAGGCTCCCTGCTGAGCAGAGAGCCCGATGTGGGACTCGATCCCAGGACCCTGAGATCATGACCCGAGCCGAAGGCAGCGGCTTAAACCACTGAGCCACCCAGGCGCCCCTCACCGTGATTTTTAATAGCCTTATAATAACTTAGCCTTTAGATGTACTTTAATTTACTTCATCTTTTGTTAAGACATTTAGATTACTGGTTATTTCCAATTTTTCACAGAAAAAAATGTACGAAAGATATATGCAAGATGTTTACTGCAAATCTCTAAATACATCCTCAGGATACTTTTCTAGAATTATATTTCTGGGTTCACATGATATGTCTATTCTTTAGGATTTCTGGTACATTGTACCAAATTGCCCTGCTGAAAAGTTGTACTTATGTGTATACCTACCAGCAATGTAGGAGTATGTGGAGTCC